TGTTATTTTATAGTTGGCCCAATATAATTATAATTATTACAATAGTTTGTTTTCAAATTATTTTACTTGTACTATACTCAGTTAAGGAAATAATCTCGCGTAGGCCTATATTAATAAAATAATAATAATAATAATAAATACAATATAATTATAATTATTACAATAGTTTGTTTTCAAATTGCCTATCGTATAAAAGCTTTGTTGTAATACAAAATAGATGGATTTCTAGACTCGGAGGACCCATTGTTGCACTTTAGAGGGCAGTCGCCCGGAGTAACATTTCATATTGGACTACAGTATCACAGCTATTGCATTATGCTACTGTACCGTATATGATGTGGGTATATCATGTCTATCTACAGTACGCCTATATTAAAAGGTTCCAACGGATGAGTTCCAAATTTAAAAATTTTAATTTTTTTTTTGTTTTTTTTTGCCAAGTTAAATACTATTGGATGTCACATAGATTAAATTTTACAATTTCAACCAAAAGGGCTCACGCTTCAACATACATATTGACTTTGTCCTACTGTTTAATTTAAAAAAATTACTAAATAAGATTTGTTTTAAAAATCGTTAATTGAAACCCACATTTTGAAACACCGCAGATGTTTAGTGATATAATGTTGAATCACCAATGGCGGACAAAGTTCTTCTTTATGATAACTAAAAGCAACAAAATTATATAGCCAGTTATAGGCCTACAGGAAACAACACTCATTAATTACTAACATATCAAAACAGGCAATGCTTGTCATTTATTTTTATTGATGTGGATATTTTTTTCTGCAAAAAGTTTGTGGTGTTTGAAATAGACGCGAGTTAATGAGCGCTTTAATATCACACACATTATGCTCCATCTTTCAACATCGTGTTCATACAAACACAGTTATGCCAATATTAATTATTTTTCATCCATAAGAAACTCTTCCGACTTGACTCTTTTGACTCCCTAGCTTGTAAAGAAAGGATTGATGCCATCAAAGATGCGACGTATAATTATAACAACACATAGTCGAAAATCATTATACTGTCATACCATGTTAAATTTTACACTAGGCAGATAAAGATAATCGCTTTCAAAAATTAGTCACAAATTGAAACGGCATCGTATAATAATTCATGCAGGCCTACGTCCGAGTATAATTCTAGGCGGTTACGCGCAAATACGGTGTCTAGAAAACGCAGCAAAACGCCGACGCACCCAGCCTCGTGACAGGACCAGTGTATTTCTGTGGGCGACTGGTCTTTGTCACGTGTTTTGATATCATATCTTTAACATATCACGTAACAAGTTTAATAAGCTAGCAAATCAATGCGAAGTCCCTCTGCGCACCCGATGATGATAGATTCAAGAAAATTCAATTAGATGGCAACACGTTTTGTTTCAAGACTTTTGACAACTCTGGAACCGCGTATATACAGTATGTTCAAGTTTCAATTTTTTTAAGTTCAATTATAATACAAATATTTCAAAGCAAGTAAATTTTTAGTCAATCTACTGTAAAATCATTTTAAAAATCATATTAAGATCATTGTCTGGAAATATTACATTGTTTTATGTTTTTTGTTTTCCATTTTCATTCATATTATCATAGTTAGTATTACCTTCACCGGTATAATCGAGATTGACATCATCATATTTGATATTGTTATAAACAAAGATTAGTCAAAAAATGTAGTAGTTTCTGAAATCAAAATTAGGTTGATAGATATAGAAAGACAGAAATTATCTGAAAAGATAAATTCATATTCAAAATTAAGACATTACAAGCATACGTTTGGAATAGATGTATACTTTATACAAAATATTGATTGTGAATATAAGCGAATCTTTACAAAACACAAAAACTGGGTATTTTGGAACTAGAGGTAGAAAGGGGTAGATATAAATATTGAAAAAAGGACAGATTATGCAAGTTATGTAACTTAAAATAAAATGGAAGATGAATATCATTTTGTTTCAGTTTGTCCCTATTTTATTGGCATTAGAAAAACATTTTTACCACATCATTATGTTAACAAAAATACTTCAAATTTCAGTTCATTTATTTAATGTCGTCTGAATGTGAATATTGTTAATAATTTATTAAAGTATGTATATTATACATATAATAATAGGAATGTATATTTGGAAACCCTCATTCAATTTGTAGGCCTATTTATATTTCATTATGTTAAAAGGGCCGGAGGACTTTTTTATTTAATAAAAGCCTTCGGGGACAGAATGTTACCTTATTGTTGCCTTCTACATAATCATTATGGCTTATTATTATAAATAAAATACACTCACTATCCTCATTATCATCAACGTCATACCAGTATTGTATGTTAGTAACAGTTTGATTTATATAGAGTATGCCCATGGTATAGGCAGCGTTTATTATTAATCTGGTCATTGAATGATTATCATCATGATATTTGCGTTGAGAGTACATCCCTCTTCACTAGGGTATTACTGCACTTTTGATGTTTTATAAGGTAAGTGACATTAGGGCTTGCGAGAATCGTGTTTGTTTTTAAGGGAAAAAATAATATTGGCCTTACATGAGCCCAAGACACTGGGGTTGGAAGCAACGCATCTCTTACCATACAGCTGCTCTGCTGCGTAATTATCATCATTAATCCTCATAATCGTCATCATCGTATGGTCATCATGATCATCATCAATGACATCATCATTCCCATCGACATCATCAACATTATTAACGCCGGGAGTATATCATCCCATCATCCTCGTCATTATCATTATCATCATCATCATCATCATCATCATCGTAATCATCACCACCATCCTCATCATCATCATCATTATTATCATCACCGTCATCATCACAATCATCGTCATCCTCATCACCTTCCTTCTTAGCGTCATTATTATCATCTCCATCATTATCATCACTGTCATGTTCATTATTACCATTATTGCCGCCGTCGCCGTTATTTTGTTTACATTTTCGTTTTATTAGTTAGCACCGTCATAATGGGTCTATAAATATTATAGGCCTATTACATTCGTTATTTTTATTGCTATTATTCACGTCTATAAATGCACTGTTTGTACTCCACCACAATTACCACCTTAAATTCGATAAGACCTATCGTTGTTTCTGATTGAAGACACTTGTGAGTTAACGCATGAATCAATGTAGCCATCACTCTAAACTACTTAGGCCCTTAAATGAATTAAAGTTGCTCGCAAAATAGATCATACGTCTATCTGAAGACGCAAAAGATAATAAAAAATGATATACAATACGCGTAATATTTACAACCTTATGGATGACAAGCCCTGATCAGTCAATAAAACGAAGTGCGCTCAATAACAACATCAAATGTAGCAATGTCCCCAGCTACATGCCTGTTATCATTGTCTCCGAAGTAACATTTCACACTAAATCACTTTCGGGTGCTAATTGACTGTATCATAGCCGGATTTTATTGTCAACCATTAATTTTATTTTCTGCTCATCCTCTTTGAGTAGAAACGACGCGAACAGACAAAACAGTTAATCCTACACTTGTCTATAGTTTTCAGTTAGTTCACATGTTTTGGCCAGGCCTATAGCTTATTATAAGGCGTAGCGACCTTGATGAGTTATGGGACCTGGGGGTGCCACGTGTACCACACAAAAAAAAAAAAATACTCGATTGCCATCCAAGTAGGACTACTCGAATAATGACTATCTCTCATTAGCATTATTATTTTAAATAATTAATTAAGACTGATATTTTTATAAGTTTTGTCTGCTTTGTTTTCTGGTTATAGTTTAGGACATTTCATTGGATAATTCCCATGCATTCTAGTGTTATTTTTGTTTTCATGCGTCTCTAGCGCATTGAGCATTTTCTAAAGTTGCATGTGCTCTATAAATATTATTATTATTATTATTATTATTATTATTATTATTATTATTATTATTATTATTATTATTTATTAATAACAATAATAATAGTAATAATAGTAATAACAGTAATAATAATAATAGTAATAGTAATAAATGATAATAAAAATTATTATTATTATTAATAATAATATAGGCCTATTATTATTAGGCCTATTATTATTATTATTAGGCCTGTTTTTATTAATATTATTATTCATATTACTATTAATATAATTATCACTATCATTATGCTAACAAAGAAAACTATTTGCAGTTGAAAATATTATCAAGAAGCTGGTACCTCGTTGGTTTTATCTCTTAGATGCAATAATTTTGTGACGTACATTAATAAATATAGGCCTATAACTTGGCGGCATTATTAGCCAACTTAGATTAATTGATGTTTCGATTAAAGAAAATCATTTCGAAGACAATCAAGACGAGATACTTGTAACGTGCGATCGTATTTGCTTTTATTATTTTTTCCCTTGCACAATCATCGTTGTTCCCGTCATTACTGTATCCCTTAGCGATCCTGTCATATTTCCCCATTCCGGTGTTATATATATTAGGATGTCGATTAGGGGAAAACAGCCTAGGATTAGCGATAAATACTCAGTCTACAGTTGATAGCGAAGAGTTGATCTATTCGGCCTTCAACTGGTGTTTGAAGTTGGTTCATATGTGCCACGTCCACCGGTCCGGAGATTAGCCGTCGGTGTTAAAATGAACTTTCGCTTAGTGATATTCGTCAGAATTTGAAGATCAATCCTCGACGTGTTTTATGATGTTGCAAGGTCGATTATTATTTTAACAGCTTCGATTGAAATCACTCAAATGCGCTTTATTTTTCAATTAATCTTCAATTTCATAACCAGATTTATTACAAATTAAAAATATAATTATTTATTGGTTTCATATAATTCCCTCAATACTATCAATCACTTAGCTTTAAGACATCATACACGTTACTACATAAATGGAGGTATGAATCTTTCAAAAAATCAGGCATTCCATTTCTTTCTTTTTATTTAATTAATTCATATTCATTTTCTTTTTTTCTTATGATGATTGTAATAATCATAATAAAATTAATCCAAATACCATTAACAATAGGCCTAGTATTAACATAAATAATTAAACTTGGAGGGGGTGAATAGCTTAGTGGTTAAGATGCTTGCCTTCAATCCCAGGCCGCTGGGTTCAATTCCTCCTGCCACCGCAGGATTTTTTCTCACGGCTAAACCAACTCCACTCCCTAGGCCTCTATAAGAGACTAGGCTTGCTTCATTCCGTCCTGTAAGTGACGAGTGTACGTATACTTGCTGTTGGATGGGAAAGAAATAAAAAATAAATAATAGAAATGATAATAATATAACAAAAATAATAATTATATTAATAAAACTAATTATAACAATAACACAAATATCAATGGGCCTGATGATGAAGATTGCGATGATGATAATGATGAAAGTGATGATAAATATGATGATGAATAATGGTCGGGTCTAATCCCATGCCCAAAAGGCCAAATTCATGGGTTTAGGGTCGGGATGGGGGGGGGGGGGTGAGTGGAAAAATCTCACTTAGGTCTACCGGTATCTGGGTGCAGTCGGTAGTGTCTGGTGGTGGGTGAGTGGGTACACAAAGTAGGCACACAAAGTATGCCCTACGAGGTGCATGAATATACAGCGTAAAAAGGTATAAATCTAAACCAGTGCAGTAGTTTGAGAATTGTATACATTGATATATGCACATGATTGAAAAACGCACGACATCAATAAATATTCAAATACAACTTTCCTAAGTATGGCTAAATTCATTGACAAAGAAATCTAAATTCATACGAACGTTTAATAAAATATTGATGAAAGCGTGTTTCTATTGAATGTAATCAGCGGGCTCAATGCTAGCGGGCTAGGTATAATATTTTAGCCCGCTAGCGAATACATTCTATAAATATGTTCCTCTTCTGATTACTTTTCAGTGTAGCAAAACAAGTGTATTGTCTTGGGAACCAGGATACAGTGTTTTTAGTAATACTTTATGGCTACGAAACATTTGCAGTGTCAAGGCGCTCGAAGCATTCACAAAGAGGTTTATGCTCGCACTTTTACAAGAAGTGTAAATTTTATGTGCATTCGTTTCAGTACGGAAATTCCGCGGTCTACGCCGCCGACCCGGAACGATATCACCCGTTTCTAATACCGAATGAGGGTAAACAAAACGGTGTTCCCAGCAACCGCAAAGACCTCTTTCCCGTATGGAATTAGGTTCTTGCCGGAGCGCCGACTTTTCGTTTCGCTTAACCACCAAACGTCGTCTGCGAGAAAACAAGACGTACGATGGCCACCTTAAAGGCCTAGTCCCTAAAGTATCATAAATTATCGGGTGAAAAGTGCAAAGAACCTGCAATAATCAACCCTAAAAAGGGAAATGTTCTGCTAATGAAGTTTCCCAAACGTACAATACTTATATTATGGACTAGGCCCATTGTATACCCATACCACTAACTCAGAAAGTGTGGCCGGTAGAAGTCCTATTGAATCTAAAGAATATACTGATACCTGGGCTCTAAAGATGTCAATAAATATGGTGATGATATATTATTATTACACCTAATAAAAATAATATTTGCATTATAAACCTACTTTATGTCTATACTGTGTGTTAGCACTGATTGTATGCTAATTAATTATACAATAATATAATAAAGAGTAAAACCGATAGTATTGATAAACATTATAATTTAGAAGACACTTAATATAAATAGGCCTACAGTATAATAGATTGTTATTATAAATCAACAATGATATAATAGGTCTAATAATATTGATAAAATAATAATAATAATTATTATTATTATTATTAAATATGGTAATAATAGTAATGAGAAGAAAAATTATTAATTATTTATAATAATTATTTATAATAATTGTAAAATTATGGTGATGCTGAATATAAATGTTAATAAGTTAACGAATACAGTAACAAGGATAAACATATTTTAAGTAAGTCATAGCTCAAATTACAGAAAACAAAACCACTTTTCTAAAAAATATTAACCACAACGAAAAAGGCTATTGTATTGTCGCATTGAATGATATAAATCTTTTGGATGGGAAAACAATGAAAAGGAGGCACTGTATACATTTATTCGTGGCGTTTTGGGGGATAATTGGACAGGCATTTGTACTCTTTCAAAAGTATGTTAACCTTTCTAAAGAAATAAAATTATGATGACACTTTCAACACCTCGGTATGTTGAAAAACAAAAGCTGGTGAATTAATTAAGAACTTAAGCAAGATGAAAGTTTGGGTTTGTGATGTCTGAAGCCGGTGCCTACAACATCATTCATCGTTCTAGTAAATCTCTAGGCCAAACTTCTTTATCGGTACCTCTGGTCTAGAAAGTACGTCGCCTACTGTATCTACAGCTATTCTACTCGGCGTTCTACTCTCGAGAGATTTAGCCTAGATGATCAGTTTCTCATATGTGCTATTGTGGCAAATGAGAGATTTAACAGCTTCTGTAATTACTGCAGGCTATAAATGTTTGCTATTTTAATCGTATTGCTTCTAGCACGGTGGAATAAGGGAGTTCACGCTCGATGACTTTTTGACAGTTTTTTTTTTTTAATTTTTCCGACAGTATGGATGGGCTGCAAGTATAGACTAATTTTTTACACATTATAACCTTGTTATAGCATTATAAATGTACCAAAATTGTCGTGACGCCGTGGCCATCAATCAATTCAAACAGGTTTAGATAGCAAATTCATGGATCTTTAATAAAATTATAAACTTTAATGTAATAATTAATAAATAACGTGTTTTTCTAATTGTCTATCTTGTTTCCTTTATTGTTACATAAATTTAAATTATTTAAATAATTAAATGTCATTCATCAGTTCATCAGGGTGATTCCTATGTTTTCGTATAGGTTAAAATTAAAACAATGTCAGGAAAAAAACCCCATACGATCGCCTTGAGACGGGTATTTCATTCATTGGGATAGGCCTATTAAAATTTAAAAATTATCTGTAAAGTGATGTTTTGAAGCGGCCCAATGTATCTGAGATGGTTCATATCGCTCATTGTGGTCGTCTGGCAGAGCAGACCTCGTCCAAATGACTTGTGATTTATACTTCAATTTGTCGACGGACCCTAGAGCCAAACTAAGACACTCCGAATCTTTATGAAACGCAATTTATGGGCATGAAACAAACTACTAAAATTCCCCATGGTGGTTGGAATTTTCAAACCAGGTGCCCCGGATGACAATTTATGACAAATAGTGCAAGGAATGAAGGGAAATGTTGATAGAACCTGAGTCGTGAAAGTTGTATGACTTCTTTGAAGAATGACGTTTACTTTCGTTACACGCTATTAACTAACCACCGTGAATACAGCGTAAAAAATATATTTGTTTTATAAACATAGTGACAAGATATTATTTCACGATTGTGTAAAATTAAAACAGCTGTTTGTTATCCGTCATCATAATGACTATTCTTAATTTGTGTGTTTTCTTTATATTTACTTTAATTCATAATTCAATCAAACGTGTTGGCACAATCGCAATGTCTTTAACCTCCAATGACCTGCGTTGCGTTTAATTTTTACAAATGATTATCGATACATAAAAACCCCATTCTTGTCCCTCATTTTCGTCGGTTTATTTCTCGTTGTAATGTATTTTGTCCTATTAGGCTTTATTACTTCATGAAAGTGCACAGAATCATCGCTCTAATAACGCGACATATATGAAATCAGAGATAATAACAACAACAAGGAAATTTAATAAATTAATTTATACCATGAATATAAAAATTATAAAATACAATGAAGCCCCTTTTATCGAATACCACTGCGATCGAAGTATATTTATAGCAACTATCTGTATTTAATAATTTCGTTTTATTATACTTTTAATAGTATTATAACTGCCAGTTACTCATTTTGATTCCATGATGTTCCGAGCGCCACCAGGACGTATTTCAGTCGATCATTGGCAACTAACAATTACCTACCTTTGTTCAAAAATTGTGAAATTGTCCATTGTTTATGTTTATTTTTTGGCGAATATCACAAAAAGCAAAAGACGCCAAAATTTGGAATGATTAAAGTAGATTAAGCGACGTTTCCCTTTTATAATCAACCTATACCTTCCCTCGCTTATTTCCTTCATGTTTCCTATTGGCTATTTTCACCTTATTTTCTCCCTGATTTTATTCTTCCCGGACAATATTCTCCTGAAATTTCCTCGTGCCCTAGGCCTGAATAAAAATATAAGAAACAAGGATTACGTATTATGACTTTTATACAGAAAGTCCATCTATCAGAATAAACTTTACTTTTATTACATTATTTCCTCTTTATTTTTAATCTGCGCTTTTGTTTATACTCGTATAGAACGAATGTGTTTAATTTATCTGGATATTATAAGTATTTTTTTTATAATAATAATAATAATAATAATAATTATTATTATTATTATTATTATTATTATTATTATTATAGTTTAATGAAATTGCATAAAGAATTTTGAACCAAGTAAAATAGTTCGTCTTTGATTGGTAGTACAGTTGGTGTGTTTAAGTATTTTCATGGTTTGTTGTTTTGCTTGTATCTGTTTAAGTGGTGTTCTGTTCTCTCCTCTCCTTGATTTGATTGAATTTTGTATTTTGAGAATTTGTCCATTTGTTTCTTGGTTTATGTATGAGTAACTATAAATCCCTTTTAATGAAATTGTTCTATAGTTTTTAAGTTATTGTAGGCTTACTACTTTACTTTTCTGTTCCGGAGGTGTTAATAATGTGATAATAGTTAGAAAGGTGATAACAAATTGTTATTATTATTATTATTATTATTATTATTATTATTATTATTATTATTATTATTATTATTATTATTATTACTATTACGTACCGGTAGTCTAACAAAAGCTCGCCCTTGACAAACAGCAGTAGAAAGGTGATAATAGTTAGAAAGCTGTATATAAAGTTTAGTGATTTTTGCTTATTTTTAGACTGTTGTATTTGTTGTGATACAATAGAAAAAAAAATAATAGGGGTTATTTGACCATTTGGCACACTCAGAAGGTGTCCCCGTCCCCTTAATAGGGGTTTGCCGCAGTGTTAAAAGATATATCGCTCCTCGATTCATGGAAAAGTGTCCCCTTAATAGAGGTGTCCCCTGAATAGGGATGTCCTAATAGAAGGCTTCTACTGTATTATACTTTATATATATTATAAATATAATATATATATATAATATATATACATAAATAATATATACATATATAATATATATATAATATATA